CTTCAACTAGGAACCGCACCTCACCTAGGACGGCCTCAGGAGTCCCTCCACGGCCCCTGCTGCAAAGCTGGCTGGCTTGATCTTATGCAGATTTTGTTCAGACAGCCACAGAGACGTGGATGCTCTGAAGACACTATTTGACAGCTGTCCTCTCTGAACACGCCTCTTACACTCTTTCACCCCGTCTTTCTGTGATTTTCCTTGAGCCCTGGAGTTTGGGGAGTATGGCACAGATGCTTCATCCCAGGGCTGCAAAACAAAGCTTTATCCCGCCTTTAATGTGGGTTCTGGAGGTCAAACTTCGAGTCCTCAAGCTTGCAAGGCAAGTACTTTGCGGGCTCTGCTAGTTCTCCACCCCTTTGCCCTCTGTACATTTCCATGGTCCATTCTGAGTCCTGTCTGATTTGGCCGCTGCTTTTACCTTATGATAGATGTCAACCGTTATTTCAGTGGCTCCTGATTCATGTGTAGCAAACACCAACTGCCTTAGCTTGGGCCTCGACTCCTCTATGTCCAGTTCTTACCTACTGTTCTGACCCAACTTCCTTCCTCTCTAGGGCTCTTCATAAGCCTGCCTTACTCTTAAACTGTGTCTCGTTTTTAACTTTTCAAATTTATCTGCCATTTCTTTGCTTTCAGCATCTGTGATACTGGAGGGCTTTGAACATTTGCTCATATATTTATATATACTCTCCACTAAGCCTCAAGCTCTTGAAGGTAGAAATAGTATTTCCAGCTCTGCAATCTGCATTTACACAAGTACCTAGTAAATGTGTGACTGTCTCTGCACGTGTGCCCACACACCTGCCTTTGAAGTTCCTTACTAAATACGGATGATTCCTGATCCTGGATGGCTCTAGCTTAGTAGTCCTCTGCTGGACGGCAGGGTGAAAGTGAACACACACGCAATCCTGTTTTCTTCTGTTCTTTGCTTTCACCACAATAGCCAAGAAATTGCACACGGCAGTCAACACTTCATTACATGAAGGCACGGGGTTAGATGATTTTACCCAGTTCTACTGCCAAGAGATGAAAGTGTTCTGAGTGCCTGGGCCATATGGGAGGGGCAGCTGAGTGTGGGAGCAGGGGGACAAAGTACGAGCTACTTCAGAGAAACCCTCCTCAGAACTAAGGGAATATATGACTTTTTTTTAAGGTTTTAAGGAATAGTGGGGAGTTATACGCCATGGGATTTTATGTGACTCCTGGCACATGTGGAGCCAGATACTTGATAGGACCACAAATTTATACTGAAGCCATTAAAGGGAGGAGCTTCAAGGCTATCACACAACTTCTTAACTATCTGTCCCAGAGAAGAAAAAAGGGAGCTACAGGGGGGCATGGCCTGATTTCTGAGAGAGTGGTAATGGTAAGTCATTTGAAGAGCCTGTGATACGTGTGTTCAATACATGTATGTATGCATGCATGTATTCTCTGTGTGTGCATGTATATGTGTGTAGAGACCAAAGGACAATGTTGGGTGTTGTTCATTTGTCGCTGGCCAAGTTGCTATTGAGACGCAGTCTCTTACTGGCCTGGGGTCTATTCAAGTCATCTAGGGTTGATGGTGAGCAAGCCTACTTCTCTGCCTTATACATCCTGGGATTATAAATGTATGCCACCAAGTGTAGCTTTGTAAAATGTGGGGTGTCTATCATCCACAGCCCCAGAGAGGCTAGAGAACAAGGAGGTCCAAAAGAGGGCTGCAAGGATTTTCCTGGGAAGGGGAAGCAGAAAAGATGAAGATATCCTAGGTAAACTGGGGGCGGGGGTTAGGAGGATGGAGGGTTGGGAACTAGAGTGAGCAGACTGAAGGCAGGTTGGAGGCAGAGAGTAACAGAAGAGACATCTTTATGGGGTGGCCAATTTGGGGTATAGGGAGAAAGCTGGTGTCAGCAAAACCCCCAGGAACCAACAAGGATGAGTCCAACTAAGACTTCTAGCAATGATGAAGAGGGTGCCTGAATTTATAGTAAGCACATTGGTGACTTCCCTAATTGCCATCAGAGATACTCTGTAGACGGAAGTTTCTGTCCCACCCAGTCTCACAGCTGTTCAGTCGTCCCCTGCAAAAAAAAAACAGAGGCTTATATTATAAACAGTTTGGCCTTTTTGGTCAGGCTTATTATTAACTAGCTCTTACAACTTAAATTGACCCATAATTTTCATCTATGTTTAGCCACATGGTTTGGTGCCTTTTCTCAGCAAGACATTCTCATCTTGCTTCCTCTGTGTCTGGCTGGGGACTGACTCTCTCTGCCTTTCCTCTTCCCAGAATTCTCTTAGTCTGCCTGCCCCGCCTATACTTCCTACCTGGCTATTGGCCAATCAGCGTCTTATCAAACTAAGATGAGTGGCAAATCCTTATAGTGTACAGGAGCATTATCCCACAGTGATACTCTATCCAGTAACTGATGGAAGAGAGGCAGAGATCCACAGGCAAGCACCTGTGGAAGAAAGGGAGGAGGGATTGTACCAGGCAGGGGCTCATGATGGGGGCACCCACAGAGACAACTGACCTGAGCTCGCAGGGAGCCTGAATGGGACCAACCTAGGCCCTCTGTATGTCTGTTTTATTTGTGTACCTTAGTCCCTTGATAAGCCTTCTAACAGTGAAAGCAGGACACCTCCTTGGTGCTTAGCTGACTTTTGGTAGCTTGTTTCCCATGCTGGATTACCTGGCCCAGCCTCCACAGAAGGGGAGGAGCTCGGTCTTGCCTCAACTTGATGTGCCATGCTTTGTGCAAGCCCATGGGAGGCTTGTCCCTTTCTGAATGGAGATGGAGGAGGAGTGGGTGAGAAGGGGGGGGTAGATGGGAAAGAGGGGGTACAGGAGGAAAGGAGGGAGGAGAAACTAGTTGGTATGTAAAATAAATGAAAAGAAAAAGTTATTTAAAAAAGTAAAATGTGGGTTGTGAGGATTGAACTCAGGTCTTCAGGCCTGCAGGATAGGCACTTTACCAACGGAGCCATCTCTTTATCCCCCGAAACGCATTTTGACTTAATGAAATCTTCAATTGACAGCGGTTTTACAGAACCAGATCATACAGTGACAGGGCAAGGAGCAGCTGTGGTTTAATTGCAGGATGGCTGTTTTTCTAGAAAGTAACACAAGCAGTTTCGAAGAGTAGGCACGGTTGCTCTGTCATGTATGCCACCCAGTGCTCTATTTTCCTTTGAATGTGAACCTGGGCTGGGCTGTCCTCAAATCCTGAGGCACGATGGGGTTACTGACCCAATAGATATTGTTATCCTCTTAGTCATACTCTCAATGACAGCCCAGCGGCCCCACGTGACAGTCTCCCTCACAAAAGGTCTCTCACTCTAGGTTCACTCACACCAGAGACGGGAATGGTATCCTAGGACGACAGGTTCCATGGGCAAAGGGGCTGGCGAACAGACACCTGGCTTGGGGTGCTTGGCTGCTTGTTCTAGAATTCCAAGCCCCCGGTGTTCCTGCTCTGTTCTTTGTAGAGCCCCAAACGATCATCTCCAACCCGCCAAAAGAGGAACAACTGGATCCCGATGTTCCTTATTGTTGGAAGCAGCCTGACCTCCAGCATCCTTCCGCCTTTCTGAGTCTCTGTAGATCTAAGGGCAGGAGAGGATCTGCATTGGCCGGGGTTACTGTGGGGGCTAAAGGGGGACTTTGTGCTACGGAGCTGGAACTTCTCACTGTGTGCTCAGACCTCCACTGTTTTCCTCTGGCCTTTCTTTCTCAGGCTCTATTTTTTCTCCTGTATCCCTTCTCTTCCACTTCACCTCCTCTTCCTCTCCTTCCCCCTCCCTTACTAGCTTATGAAAACTGGTGATTTGGGCTGTACACACATTCCTAGCAGGAACAATGCAACTGTGCATGCATTGCCCAACACATTCCCTGTAGGCATGGTGTGTCACTTCCATGCACTGTTGATGGAGAGATTAAAAAAAAAAGCTTCTCCCTGATTTATGGAGGCACAAGGGGTGTGTGTGCGCTCACATGTGGTCATGCATGGGAAAATGTACTACTTTGTTTATTCATTTTACCCATTGGCACAGCCTTCTGGCTGCTGTAGTCACAAGAGACAGCACCTTTATTGGTGATATCTCATTGGTTCACCTTCATTGAATCAATCCTGTAGTCATCACTGCTGCTGTTGGAACTGGCCCAGGCTGGGTTTTGTGTTGGGCTGTTTGGGTAGATTTTCTAGGCACTGGGCAGTTAATGAGGTTGAGAGGAGGAAAGGATAGGCGTGTACAAGCACAGGGAACTGTTTCTCAGTGTCCACTGGCAAAACGGATGCCTTTAGGTCTACTAGGGGAAGGAAGATCAGATGACCAGATAAGAACGTCTTGGAGGCCTCTTGGGAGGCCCAGGGCTCTAGGATCATCCTCTGCAAGGAGCTGTGGTGGCGTGGGTGTCTCTTCTGTACCTACTGAGCAGTCTCATATGCTCACATCCATGAAGACAAAGCCTCAAGCTGTGCATGCTGGAAACTGGAAGTGATGTCACTGCGTGGAAGGAAATGAGAAGTCCTTCAGTGTTTCCCAGACATCTTCTCAGGAACCCACACAGCAGGAGACAACCGACTCCCTCAGGCTTTCCTCTGGTTGACATGTGTGCAACAACCCCATCTACATACAATAAATAAATAGTATGGACACCCACAAATGTCTGTGAAGACATGGTAGGTCTCTGGCCGAGCCCATTTGGATGTGACGTTTCTCTCAGATCCCCTTCTTCAGGAGCCACGGCCTATCTGACTTTGGAGAGATTTAGAGACACCTCACCTGATTTCAGCTCTGCTCAGTTATGGAAGTTTCTAAGCCCATCTGCACCCGACTGCACCGTTTTGTCTGTTTGTTCTGCAGCTGTGTTTCCTAGGCTGCTGTGCAGCACAGGCTCAGGTGTGGGCAGACAACAGCAGCTGCTCCCATGCGTAGGTGCCTTCTGAAGTTGTAATTGCTCACGGCCAGCTGCCATCTGAGAACAGTAAATCAAAAACTCCAGAAACAAACAGTTCACGGTTTCAAGAATCTTTTATTCCAGCTTATGGTTATAATTATACCATTTTACTGTGAGTTATTGCAGTTAATTTCTTATTGTGCCTAATTTATAAATTAAGTCTTAACATAAATGTGTGCAGAAAAAGCCAGCTACAAGGGGTTTAATACTGCCTTTGGTTTCAAGCATTCACTAGGGGTTTAGACCAGGTCTCTAGATTAGTGGGTGACATCTGTAGCCAGTCTTTTACTTCATAGATGAGAACATAGCCATCCACCAATCTGGGGACATCTGGCACTTGGCCAATCCATGCTTCTCTTCCCCACAGCATTACCAGGACTTCCAGCTCTTTAGGCTGGTGGCCATACTTGACTAAGCTTATATCCTCATTAGCTTCCCAGGGAACATGACATAATATTTTTTTTGATGGAGTCCAAGTGGAGATAGCACAGCTGAAGAGGCTCCTGAGAGGACCTGGGTATTGCAGGGGACAATCTTTAAACTCAGCCACACTGGTCTCAGAGCAATCACGGAGCCACTGGCAATCTCACCTGGATGGGGTTGGTTAATTAGTTCATTTTCTCCCTGCTGTTCATTTTAAATTGGTGGCTTCTCAGAACGTTTAGAGGCGGGGCGATGATGAATTCTCATTAGCCAACACAGGCAAGCCATGAATCCAGTGAGTTAGTGACACAGGAATACAGTGATTGCTTAGTATCTGATCCTCTGCTCCTGCCCACAAAGCTGGGAGTTAGGAAGCAGGGGTAATACAATTAGCAACAGTTCCACTTGAAAAATGCCAACAGAATGCCAACATTAAGGGCAGAGAAGTCAACTTCACGGCTTAAGGTCCCAAGACCAATACAGAGGAGCTAGGACCCAAACCCAGGGCTGATGGAGTTCACTCATGGTTGTTGAACACAACTCTCGTCTTGGAATATTATTTATCAAGAAATCAGTGCTTCAGTCAGTGGCCCAATTACCGAGCTTCATCCTTCCGTTTGTTTTATAGAACTGGTACCAATGAGGGGAAAATGTCATTCTTCCTCTTGTTTTCTTGCCAGAACTGGACAATTTTTGCCCCATGCACACAGATCTAATGTTATACAAGAGAAAAGCCACCAGTGGGTGGCATTTACTGTTTCCTAGACACTTGATAAAGAATGCTCAGTTACACTTCAAATCTATTTGTTAACGTTTTGTGTTGGGTTGATGGGAGATGAAGATGCTTTTTAACTCTGGCACCTGCCGTTCTCCCCCAATGACAAGGACTGACATCACCTGCCGTTCTCCCCCAATGACAAGGACTGACATTTGATGCCATTATCCCCAGTCCATTTATAGATGTCACACTTTTGTTCACTCCCGCCTAGGTCCAACCATCTCATGCCCACCGAGGAGAACTTTCATGCTAGTGAGATGAGACCTGCAATGTACAGGGAGACCTGTGTCTTCAGATATTCCCTATTCCTTGTAGAGCCAATGACAGCCTCTGGGTGGCCATCGAGTCCCTGCAAGAGGTGTTCTGCACCTTGATTCTTCATATCTGTATTAACTTCCTGGCAGGCACCCAGTGTTCTGCAGTAAGAGTCTTGGGGTGCCCTTGAGGGCTTCCCGGTGCTGACAGTGGTGGCACTTAGTGGCTGTGCTTTCTCTCCGACAGTCACAAACACCTTGCAGGGAGGTGGAGACTGCTACCCCTCAGATGAAGTATTCCTTCTTGCTGTTGTCCCCGGCGTCCTGGAGGGCAGGGTCGCTCTGCAGGGCTGCATCGGCACTCTCAGCGAACTCGGTGCCTTTGGCCTCATTGGTGTGGTAGGTGCCCTTGTGCCTGTACAGGTACCGGAGCATGAGGAAGAGGAGGCAGACCAGGACCAAAGCCACTGCAGTGATCACAGCTGCAAGAAAGACAGGATGCAAGTCAGTTAAGGCAGATGGGCGCAGTGTTGCATTATGACTTTGTCCTCTGGGCATAACGTCCTGCCATCTTGGAGTAGAGTTCACCTTGGCAAGGCGGGGTAGCCATGGCCAGTCAGTGAAATAAAGCAGTGGTATCTGGATCTATGGAACTACCGACCTTCCCTGGTTGACAGGGGAAGAGAGGATCACAGAGGATCACCTGGGGAAAAACAATCTCTATTTGCTATCTTATGTCTATGCATGATTGAGCATGCATGTGATCAAAATCAGACATATCATAGGAAAGGACATGCATGGTATACAAAGGTTCACATAGCCAGAGTCCATCAATCAACACAAAATTCACCCAATGACTGACCAAATGTGAGCCAAACAAGGATGACTCCAGTGAACTTGCCAAACTGGACTGAAATAAAAAATCCCATGAGGTCCCAACCCTACACAAAGAACTCTAGGCAACTGAGGAAAGCTGGAAGTGGGAGAGGTGGGCTTCTTCAGCGAAAAGTACACCAACTGGTTGACTAGTACCAAATGGCCAGCCCTGAAAACATACATAAAGCAACATTATGTACACTAAACACATATATTAGGAATATATAAATACATATGTGCATGCAATAAAATTAGTAAAAATGGAGGCCATGAATTTAAAGCGGATAAGGGTATATATGAGGGTTTGGATGGCAGAAAGGGAAGGGAGAAATGTAATTTAAACTATAATCTCAAAAAACCAACATCCCCAGCATTCAATCCCCTTCCTCCTATGTCTACAAAAGGAAGATTCAGGCAGCAGTCAGGCACCTTGTGCAAATCTTGCTCAGGACCAACTGTTCTCTCATGGCAATCACACTCTAATTTTTGCTTTGCCTCAGAATGAAAACCCTCACTATTTGTGAGTGCTTATCAATTCTTCACACACCTGTCTACAGAGACCACTAGTAACACAAGTACTTGTATTGACTTGAAGTTCAAGAGTCCATAGAAAGTAGGGTTTCACTTCTTCAGACAATCCCATTTCCATATGGGAATTTCTGTGCCCAGATTAGAAAGAACTGATTACCCTCCACAGAGTCCAAGGCGGGGGGGAAGGCAAGGGTGATTGGGTATGGCATGAAATAGGTGGGGGAGGTATCCCTATTCAGTCTGAACCATTCATTTTGGATTTCCAGGTCTCCAGGAAGAGGTGGACTTGGCCACGATGCTCAGATCAATGTCAAAAGATGTGTTAGGTCCCAGCAATCAGAGAAGTAAAGCAGAAGGTAGGACAGGAGAGGTCAGATCACTTAGAAATTTAGAAGGTCCAAGGATACTAATCCCATGGAAGGTGTTTCATCTTTTCTCACTAGGTTTGAAGTTGTAGAACTTAACTATCTTCACTTTAGAAGCAAGGGTTCCTGGAGTAATAATGTTGGGAAATATAGCTCCCATGTCTCATTTGTATTAATGATTTCCTAAGTTCCTTATGACTGTCACAGCAACGATTTCCTAAGCTCTCTGTGACTGTAGCAGGAATGATTTCCTAAGCTCCCTGTGACTGTAGCAGGAATGATTTCCTAAGCTCCCTGTCACTGTAGCAGGAATGATTTCCTAAGCTCCCTGTGACTGTAGCAGGAATGATTTCCTAAGCTCCCTGTCACTGTAGCAGGAACACCACCTGTTAACAGTTCCTGAGAAAAAGAAGGGCCGAGGACCCAAATGACGAGGGAATGATCAACTAGATGAAATCGACAGGTGTCTTTGATGGCTTCCTCTTCTTCTTTATTTTTAACTGAAGACGATCTTTGAGCTATGCGCCAGCGAGTGAGAAGAGGGGATCACAAAGAGGGAGCAAAGCGAGACACAGCCCAAGCTTGCTTGCTCTTGAGCCACAAGTGGGAAGCCACCAGCCCAGGGTCCCACCTTTGGGTGGAGGTGTGAGTCAGGGCAGTGTGGGATGAGGGAGATGTGAAGTCCTCGAAGTCTGGGCTAGCTTGTCGACTTGTACCCAAAACTGCTTTACAGAGTTAGGACACACTTGTTAACTGCTTTCTTTTCTCCTAAAACCAAGCAACCCTCCTGTAGTCTCTCTCAAATGCAGCCATGGAGAGCAGCCGAGACCCTCACAAGCAGTTGAATCCCCTGCTCCTTTTGCATCTGGGAGCAAGCCTAGCTGATGTCCAGAACTCTGACAACCTTGGATTATAACCCCACTTTTATCTAATGCCTTCCTCCTTTGAGACTCCTGGTCATGTGATGTGAACTTACCCCTACCTCCTATCACCACCCCCCAAGCTCTAAGAGTCAGAACTGCTTTTGTTTTCTGGAATTGGAGGCTTTCTTCCTTCAGAATCCCTACCATGTTATACATGACACCTCTCCCTTTCCTAAGGCCTTCCCACTTCAGAACCTCTCATGGCCGCTATAACCATGGTGCTCTGACCACCTTACCCCAAATTAAGTTCTTCCGTAGTGGACTTTGCCCCAATTTCCTTTTCTACTAATGGTTTTATCATTTTTTTTATTTGTAACACATAGCTGACTCATTCTCCAGCCTGAGCCACTGGGGATACAAGGTCCAGAGACAGGATGTCTTTGATATGTGCAGCAAGCCCGATTTTGTTCACTTCATCTGGCACCATAAGTAACACTTCCAACCAGAATGGGAGCATTTCTTTCTATCCCCAAAGACCCCTGCAGGGGCAGAGACACAGTTTTTGTCGACTGGGCACAAGTCTATACACACTTAGGGAGGAGGAATCTCATTTGAAGAACTGCCTTAACCAGGTTGGCCTATGGACATGTCTATGGGGCATTTTCTGGATTGCTGCTTCCACCGTCGGTGGTTCCATCCCATGGTAGGTTTTCTCTAAGAAACACAGCTGAGCAAGCCAGAGGAAACGTATCAGTCAACAGCTTCATCCATAGTTCTTGCCCTGGCTTCCCTCAATGATGGACCGTGACATGGAAGTTTATGTTAAGTAAACCTTTTCCTCCGTGGACTTCTTTTGGTTGAGGTGTTTATCACAGCAACAAGAAGCAAACTAAAACAGGAGAGAATCACCAGGCATTCCCATCCCTTTTCCACCTAGGTCCTCAAGCCAAGGGCACTGCCATGCAAACTCACCTGCAATGATGGCGATCTCCATCACTCTGTAGGACATCCCTGGGTTAGGCTCTGTGGACAAAAGTAAAAACCTATGGTGAGAAAGAAAGACTCCCCACAATCAGAAGCCAGTATGCACCCCCCTGGTCACTTGTAAGCAGCTTGGTGATTGCCTGCAGAGAGAAGAACACAATGCACACAGACCTCTGCTGGAAGGCATAGATCCAGTTCTGCAAGGCTACTGAACTGGGCTGAGAATACCCCGTGAATCCCAGGGCACTCCAGAACCATGCCACTCCCCATTAAATCCCAGCACAGATGCCAATGCTCACATCTTGTAGATTCCCATTGACTTTTTCCCCTGGGTATAACATGTTCACCGTCCTGGAGTGAAGACTACCTTGGCCAGGTATCTATGGCAACACAACGAGCAGAAAAAAACGAAGGTAGCTATGTTTGTTTATGATAATGGCAATAGGGCTTTTGACACCCCTTAAGAGAAGGAGGGAGCAGGTCTTAAGACCCTCAGCTAAGATTGGGTCATGACTTTCTTCCAGCTTTTCTCAGCTCCAAGTGATCTTTGGAGATACTAGTGTACACAGGACACACAAGTGTTGTGATATTTTGTCTGTATTCTGACAAATAAAGCTTGCCTGAGGTTCAGAGGATGGAGTTAGAGTTCAGGAGGTCTGTACAGAGAGGAGACAGGAAGTGACAACACAGGGCAGAGAGAGGAAGTGATAAGGTGGGGTATAGACAGGGTCTTGGCCCTTTTGTTCTGAGAATTCAGAGGTAAGAAGTGACTGTGACTGTTTCTTCGTTTCTCTAATCTTTCAGCTTTCACCCTTGATATCTGAGTATGGGTTTGTATTGTTAAGACTAATTAGGATCATGCTTCATCTGGCGCCCAATGTGGGGAGCCATGTGTAACCAGACATTTCTCTCCCACTCACCTGTTTCCAAATACCCAGTAGCTACTTCCCAAATTACCACACAGAGGTTTAATATTACTTATAAATGCTCAACTAATAGCTTGGGATTAATATTAACTAGATCTTACATTTTAAGTTAAACCATATTCCTTATTTACACTCTGCCACATGGTGGTACCTTTTCTCAGTACTGTATGCCCATCTTACTTTCTCTGCATCTGGCCGGTGACTCCCGACTCCACCCTCCTACCCATCATCCTTAGTTTGATCACCTGTACTTCTTGCCTGGCTACTGGCCAATCAGTATTTTATTAAACCAGTTCCAGTGACAAGTCATTACAGTGTACAAGAGGATTACTCTACAACACAGAAGGTTAACCAAAAGACTCCATGATACAGCTTCCATGAGTTCACAATCCAAGACATGGGACTTTGTGGTGATACAACTGATTGTGTGTATGTGTGTGGGGTATATGTATATGTTTGTATGGTTATGTGCATATTTGTTAACAGGTACCTGTGTACTTGTGTGTGTATGGAGGCTAGAGATCTTTCTTGGTGACTTTGAATCTTAATTTTTGAGACAAAAATATCTATCTATCTATCTAACTATCTATCTATCTACTTACCTACCTACCTATCACAGAACCAAGACCTCATTAATTCTGCTAGGATGGCTGACAACTGAGTTGTATGACTCCTCTTCCTCTGGCCTTCTAGTTTTAGGATTACAGGTGCATCCTACCACACATGCCCATTTTATGGATTTTATGGATGCAAATTCAAGTTCTTAGGTTGGCACAGCAGGCACTTTGCCACCTGAGCCATCTCCCCAGCCTTTGATGTGTCTATTTTTGGGGTTATCCACATTCCTTTAAGTAAACTTTTACCCAAGCTCTCAACAAGAAAGCCCCCCCCCCCAAACTTACTGGTTGGTTAAATTGGACTTTGATGGAATCATTACTTCAGTCTGTCATTGGAGCCATATCTGGGGCAAATAGACAACTCTTCATATCTTCTTAGGAAAAGTTAATGCAATACCTCTGCATCCAATCACAGAAGCCCACACTGGCTAGACACTCGGTAGTAGTTATGTGGTGGGATGAAGATCTGCACCACTGCGTTTTTAACACAGGCCAGTTGATGGTCTGCTCATATCAAGTCTGGTTTTGTCATTGCCTTACACCTGCTCTCTCAATGGTCTTCCTGAGAGATGCCGGTCTTCATCGGCCATTTCGCAGGTTGAATATTCAAGTTCAGGCATGTGATGTGCCTTTGGTCACACGGCTCATCCAGTGGCAGCCTGGGACTTCATTACTCACTTGGGTATACTTTCAGTCTCTCCCTGAGTATTCTCCCCAAACCTAGATCTTTGTATCAACTGTACAGAGAGAAAGGCCCATCCTATGGAGCTATCCAAGTGGCTGAAGTGGCTGCTAGTACTTGCCGTGGCTTCTGGATCTGGCACATTGCAACCTCCTTTAGTGGTTCCTCTAGCTACTACAAATGATAGCTCCTCTCCTTGGGGACACAGGGGAGTAGGGGATTTACTAGACTCTGCAGATAGCAGTATTAAATTAGAAATCTCAGTACTAGCTGAAGCAGAGAAGGCCATACCAGGCTCAGGGAATCACTACAATTGTAGTGCCATGAGACCTTTCTCCCAGGGCAGTTGCCAAGTACTTGCCTCAATCTGATAAAACACTGGCTGCTACAGTCTGGCGGGGCAGTGGGTTGGACATAGCCAGGATGGGAGCCTAGGGTCAGCCAAAGGTCCTGGGCAGGTCCGCTTCCCTGGCTCTGCCACACACCTACCCCCACACATAGCTTGTCTTCTAGGCTCAGACTATATCCATTCCACAGATTCTTTCCTTGGTGGTCATCCTAATGTACTGGCATCTCCAAAATGCTGGAACTCTGCTGCAACTTGGCTACACCTTCACCAATAGCCTCTCCCAGGCTCTTTTCAGGGGCTGTGACCTTATCACATGGTGCCAAGACTCCTATTCTCTTCAGGATCCCTTCAGTCCCGAGGCTTTTACTGCAATGGATGCTGCACCTTCACCAATGGTCTCTTGTAACTTCTCACAGTGCCAAGCCTCAGATGCTGTAACCACATTGCCAAGTTAGGCTGCCCGCATGAGATGCAGCCTTGGCCCTTACTGAATCACAGTTCCTGTGTGCTGGCCTTGAAGGAATCCTTCCAGAAGATTTTACCACAAGGATTCTGGTTTCGTTTAACTACTACTCATTTCTCAGCCCCAGATGACAAGCAGCAATTTTCCCAACAAGGCAAAGGTTTCATGTTAGTCGTTCTGGGTCTCTTGGAAGTCACAGCTGATTCTTCATTCCAAGCAGACCAGAACCTGAGATTCCCAATAGCACACAAATGGCCCTGATAGAGTCTTTGCTTCCCTCTGAAGTTTTACAAGCCAGACCTCCATCGCCTGTACTGCTGCCAGTATTATTTTCTAAGTTCCCATGGAACAGCCCACTGGGCTCTCAACACTCAGTGGATTTTCTGATCTAAAGTTCAAATGCCTCCACAATCCTCCCCCAAACACATGGTCAGGTCTGTCACAGCAATACACCATGAACCTAGCACTGATTTCTGTCTTAGGGTTTCTATTGCCTGGGACAGCCTGAGACTGTCCACTTGGGAAATACCGAATAAATATAAAACTAAAGCATGAATGGAGAAATATGAGCAAATGGATTTAGTGACTGGAATTCTGTGTGACATATCAAAATATATACTTATTTAGCTCAAAGTTCTGGAGGCTTGGAAGTTCAAGAGCATGGTGCTAACATCTGCTGAGGGTCTTCTTATTGCATCAGTAAATAGCAGTAGGAATCCTATGATATTCTGCAATGTTATCCTTCACACAGTACAGCCACCATCTTCACTATAGAAGCTGTGACTACTTTCAAGGGACCCTCAAGATTAGGTTTGTTGACATTTTCTCATAGAAGTAGAGAGTGGAGAGGGTCGTTGGATTCTTGCCTGGATTCCAGCCATTCCCTCCTGCACCCCTATACTACCTCTATGAATTTTGTAAGTTGTGGTGCAACCTTGAGTCTCAGCAAAGCCAGATTGTCAAGACAGGTGTCTCCATTATGGGTAGACATAGTCCTGTTACAGGGAGACAGGACACCATGGCGGAGAGAGACTTGGGCTCCAAAGGTCATGTCGGGATGGGCATCCTTCCCTGTGCACCTGTTGTGATTTGGATGAGAAAAATATCCCTCATAGGCTCATGGAGTTAAATACTTAGTCCCCCGCTGGTGGCACTGTTTGAGAAGGTTATGGAACTTTTAGGATGTGGAGCTGTGGGGGAGGAGTGAGTCACTGGGGCAGGCTTGGAGAGTTAAAGCCCCACCCCACTTCCAGCACTTACTGTCTGCTTCCTGTTTGCTGTTCTAATATGGTCTCTCAGTTCCTCCACCATGCTGGTCTCCTGCCACGCCTCCCCGACCACTGTGGACTAGCCCTCTAGAACTGTAAGCCAGAATAAATGCTTCCCTTTGAAAGTTGCTTTGGGACATGGTATTTTAATCACAGCAGAGAAATAACTAGTGAGTGCCACTTGGAGTCACGCTCAGGAGGTTCTATGCCCAGGATTTGCTCACACGAGGACCCAGGGGGAGGGGCAGGATGTCATAACTCATAACTCAAGATTTAGGCGCCCAGGCTATTGCTACACATTCTTCTGCTATTATCCTTCTGTTCTCTCCAGAAATTCTTTCACGTCACACACACAACTGGCACTCACATTTAACTCACAACTGATCAGTTCACTTGAGTGATAGTACACACAGAAAAGGAAGAAGGCGTTGTGACCATTCTTCTGACAGAGAATAAAACAGCTTCCCCTTATCCCGAGTCCAGGACGACAGCCCTATACAACTGAAGGATGGGCAATGTGGAGCCACTTCTATCATATAGGGCTCTCCTCCAGGGAGGGCCTGTGTTAACGGTGACTGTGAGGCATAGAGGGTATTAAAGGCAGTAAGGGGCTAAGGTGACAGTTCTTCAGTGAAATCCTGGTCTCAGAAGCACAAGAACCAGCGTCCCATCCACACTAGCTGAATTAAACAAAAGGGCATCCAAACAAGCCCAGGTGTGGTGGCATCTGCTCA